TTTGATAACAGCGAAAATTAAATTATTACAACGCTATTGTAAGACAGTGCATATTCCATCATTCACGAATTGCGTCTCGCGTCACGAATTGCGTCTGCGTCAATGCGTCTCACAGAGAACCGATTTGAGGGGGATAATAAGTTGTGTTATTAGTTAATGATTTGTAAGGCAAGGCCAGTATTCAATCAACAGTTGATTTAACTTGTCTGTAAAAAAAATCAGCCTTTTATGCGTAACTTTTAGCTTCTACATAGAGTTATCCAGGTCTTCACACAGTCCTTGGCAAATTGTTAATATTAACACAATGCTTGTCGGTAAAATGGGGCGGACCCCTTTTTCCATGTAGTATATGAAATATATTGCCAAAACCAAAAGTTAAATTTTATTATGTGCGTTTTTACATAATTAATACTTGGGTGTAAAAATTCATTTTTTATTATTTTTATAAAATAATTTAAAAATCTAAGTTGATTTATAATATTTTAATAAATAACATAATCAGGAAAAGTTTTTTTGGTTTTAGTTCTTTTGCTACTTTGGAGATCTTTATCACATTCTTTTTTATTAGTTCTAAAATAAACCTAAGGTTAAAATTTATTATGAAGTAAAAAAGAAAATTCAATGACAATTTTTACCTTTTATCACTAGTATTTGGGCCTTCAACTCTATTGTTAGAACTGATGTTAATTAATAAATAATGATTAATTATTATTATTTGTAGTATATAACAATACATGTAAATTTTTTTACCTTGAAATCGTGTGATATTGATTTGATTTATCCATAAAAAACTCCATCACTAAAGATAATGAAAAGTTAATAATAAAATAATAATGAAACAAATCATTGAACCAAAATCTCTATGAAACCTTACATTTCATTCCTGAAGTAATATTATTAGGAATTTCAATGTTATAATTTCTTAATTTATCTATTAAAATATCTATAAATAAATGAAAATATTAGAATATTTCACCATTTTAGACATTATATATATTTTTCATACTCACTTGTTTTACTATTAAAATAATCCAAATTGTCTTCCTCTAGATTATATGCAACCAAAGTTGCTAATTGTTGTTCCCCTGCTAGTGAAATTGGATTGTTTGATTCTAAAATCGCAATCCCACCATTAAGATCATCATATTTGTAAATACCAATATTTTCATTAAAGTTTTTTATTAATCTACTATAAAAATGACTTCCACTTGTAGAAGTACTATATACACGTCCTAATAAACTATAATTCAAGCATCCAGAGTTTAGATGAAGAGGAAAATTCAAACTCTCTGATGAATTAGAACTACCATTATCTCTTTGGGTAATTTCGAAAATTAATATTTTAGGCCAAGATACTATGAATTCCTCATGATTTATTTTTCTTTTCTCACATTCATGTATATTTACACATGAATGCTGACAAGGCTCATTTGGATGTTCACTTAAAACAAACCCATCTTTTTGAGCAAAAAGTGCTGAAATTTGTCCAATCAAATGTTTATTTTCATCAAAGAATGGTGTATTGAAATATTCTAATCCATTAATTAGAATTAATGGTGTCATAGGAGTTGGAGCAATTTGGATATGACCTGACTCACACTTCCAAATTCTTATACCCAGAGGACAAAAATATGATAAAATATTTAATGAATCATTCTCCTTAATTATCTTTTCATACCATAAGGTCAATGAACCATACTCTCCATCTTGTTGCCATTTTTTTCTAAGATATATTGACGAACTACCCTCTTGCATCACTATAGCTGGATTTCTTGCTTTTGTTGGTTAATTGTCCTCTCATTATAAAACTAGCATATATTTTTTTAAGTCCCGAATTATCATTAATAATTGTCCCCACATTATTAGACCACCACTCTTGGTCTGTTAAATAATAGTTATAAAGTATTTCCAAGAATGATGTTATATAACATGAGTTGTGGAAGTGGGGATAAGATTGGTATTGCTTGATCTCCTTTTTATTGGAAATCGGAACTATTGTTTTTCTTTGACTATTTTCTATGTTATTATTCAAAAGATCTTTTGTGGTGTCTGGAGGTCTTCTATCTTTAATTCCAGCACCTTTTTTTGAATTTTTGCCACGATATGGTTTGGTTGTGCCATACTTTTCTGCGACTTTCTTCCAACGTTCCAATTCACCATATCGCAATTGATGACCTTTGATTCGATCTCCATAATCTGATTCTAAAGTAATTACAAATAGAAGCAAGTTTTCCAAACCCATTATTATTGATTGTTGGATTGACCCAGTCATGTAATACCGATTATGCATAGACTCTTGAGCATTAATTGTTTTAGGAATGGATTTTAAGAGTTCTTTGTCCATAGTACTTAACACAGGAAAAAGCATTTTTCCTGCATCTGTATAAACCCACCATTCTAGCCATGATGTTGTATTGAGCCAAGTTTCTTGAATAATTTTAACATTTTTATAAAATTCTTCTTTTTCATCTATCTCTAGAAGTTCCAATGCCATTGATTCAAATTTTTTTGATGTTTCATGCTTTACAACTGCACGATTCTTACTGATTCTTGTAATTGATTGTCTAAAGTGTTCTTCGCAGCCTTTCAATAGTGTTTTAGCTTCATTTCTCAAATATTCTTTATGTGACTCTATCAAAGGCATCGGCAATGAAGAATTTTTATTTTGATATTTTTCTAATCCATGTTCAATGTAAGCTTGCAGAAATCCATTCCTTTCAGCAGAGCTAAAGTCCATAACTAGAGCATATTTATTAGTGGGATTATTACACTCAAAAAAAAAACCAATAGGATAAATAATTAATGTGTACGCGTCGATCATATTCACAAACTTCTTTTTAATTCTTTTCTTAAAATATGCCGCCAAAAAGGAAATTCCATCAAAGAAGCAGAGAAAATGATGCTGGAGTCGCTGGGTAAGTGTTTTAAGGATGGTGGTGGTGGTTATCGCCCACAACACGTAGTCACTCTAGTTAATAATAATAAATAAATTGCAAAATTATAACAATTGTATTTAAAACTTAGTGATCTGATAAAATATGGTATTGTTGACTTTGGAAGCTCTAACCCAAACATCCAAAAGATGAAGGATAAATTTAAAAGATTTGAAAAGAAATTCAAAGTTTATAATTATGTTTTCGGTGATCAGCATATTAAAGAAATGTTGGAAGATATCAAAAATTTTAAAGAAAAAAGATGTTCGAGATTTTCTAAATAATTATAACAAGTTTGAAAATTTTGAAAGCAATGACATAACAGAACGAATGAGTCATTTTATATTAATAGTAATCAAAACATAGTAAGATTTAAATGCTTTTTTTAGAAAAATGGTTTCAACATTCATTATAATGATCTATTTTTGGAATTTCAGCTGGAATTTATTTACAAGAAATGAAGCTTACTTCACCGAGTTATATTCTGAGGAGCATATCCGTTCTATCTTATATACACCAATGTTTGATGCTTTATTCTTCAATAAGGAGTATCTTTATTATATAAACGGGTACATATATAATTTTTTTTTCATTAAACTGCAAAAACATGAATTTTTAAAAAATAGTTTTGATTAAATAGTTCGAGTGATGCAAATCAGGGTGTGGTCCATTGGGTCCATTAGTGTAATACTTTAACCATATTTAGTATTTTATTAATGACAATGAACCAGTCCAAATCCATCTGTTTTCAATGGACCAGTCAATTTGCCAACCCTGATGCAAATAGTGAAAGGCGTAACAAAGATAAAGAGAATGTGTCAGAACGTACACGAAATCCCCTTATTCCGGATATCAAAGTAAACTATGCTATTTATGAAGCCGAAGTTGTTACATTTGAGCAAGCAAAAACTGCTGCTCGGAAAAAGGGTCTCAATAAAGCAATCAACGATTCAAATAAATTATCTATACTATTACATGATCAAATTACTTTGAAAAATTATATTAATTTGATAAATGTATTTGGTATCCGCATTTCTGGTAGATATTAAAGCTTAATATAAATTATTTATTGAGTTATTTACTGTATTTATTCTAAGTGGTTTTTGCTCCATAAGAACTTGTTTAATTGACTTAATTAGATTTAGGGTAAATATTTGCAATATATATATGTAAAGTATTATTGATTATTATCATTTGCAAATTCTAATCAAATAATATAATATATTTTTAGTTGATTTTAGATGAACCTTATGATTCATTTAAAGGAATTATAAGGCTCAATTCATTAGATTCTAAACTTGCAAATCCTGACACCTCATGGATCGTCAACATTAAAGAATAGTTATTATTATTGGTCACAATTAAATGATATTTGGATAATAGATTTTAGAACAATTATTTGGCAAAGAAAAATAGCAAGAATATAATAATTAAATAATTTGAGAATATTGCGCATCATTAATTGATTAATTAAAGCTAAAATAGTAATATGTTGTTAAATTAATATATTAATATGTTAACTCCAAATTTAAAATTAACACAAAACAACAATTCTCCTCAATAATTTTTTTAGAAACAACAATAATTCTCTTTTATTTATTAAGATAATAATTTTCATGATTTTTATCTTATCCATTTTAGTAATTATAAATAATTTAAATCTAGACTTAATTATTTTTCATGGAGCTGGTTAAGGATTTTTATTTTCATATACTTGAATATTTATTTGCAGATCCATTCAAATTTAATTCTTTGCTTGTCACCACAGGACCAATTTTAGAATCTCTTCAATTTTAAAATAAACTAGTGATATTGATTCTAGTAACTTTGTCACACTGTGTACTGATACACCAATATTTATAGTAAGTAAATTAATTTTCTAGGTTCTGTGTTAATATTCTTTTATTAGTTATAACTTTTCTTTTTCTCTCTTGGCAAATTTCATAAGTGATCTTTTTTTTGTCTAAATATGTTTGCAAGGATTTAGTATCTGCTAATTTAAAAATATAAGGAGCAATCTTTTCTCTTGTTCTTCAAAATAATTCTGATGGTACTATAATTCTTGGGTTCCATAGTAGATCTGATCCCTGAAATCTTTGGTAACACTAATTTTCACTTTGTCTGGTTTTGTTGCAGCATGCCCCATATAATACTTACCATCTGGTTATTATAAAGAAATAAAAAAACAAATTATTTAATTAGATGATGTTTATTTTGTGTT